CAAGACAAGCTAAGCTAGATAAGTGAGAAATAAATTTGGAATAGATTTAGAGTAACAAGGCAATAGTTTTAAAAATTATCGATGTATTTGTTAATAAATTGTAAAGAAATATTGTTATTAAAATTAAAACTGATATATAGTGATGCTATGAATAAGCAAGATTGTTGGTATGGATGGGAAAATGAATGATTTACAAAATAAAAAGGATTGAAAAAGATTGTTCAATAAATGAAGAGAGAAGAGGCAGAGAAAAAATTAGGGGTAAATATTTGCTCTTTTTTTCTTTCTTTTTTCTACAACAATTAAATTTCATCTTAAATTTCAAAATTAGAAAAACTAACTATTTTTTTTGTGTGAATTTATTGTAAACAAGTAAATATGAAATAGTTATTTGTAATGTAATGAAAATTGGAAATAAAAACAATGGAAGAAAAAAGACAAATTGTAATATAACACTAAAAGATTAATTGTTGAATGAATGGAAATTTTTAAAAAAAAGGAGTTAATTTTATGAAAAAGAAAGATGAGTAAAGTGAAATGAATGTTGAAAAAAAAAGTAAATGAGACATTTTATTGAATAGCTTAAATATTTTTTCTAGAATTCTTTCTTTTTAGAACTGGAATGAAATTTGTTTTCCATTTTAAAAGTTTATATTATTTATAGACAGTAATATCTGTAATATTTACAAATAGATATTACTTTCTCGTAATATAGGGAAAAGTTATTTCAACATATTTGAAGTATGGTAAATAAATGGATAAAATAGACAAATGTCCTTGATTGAGGTGTATCATCTGAACCTTCTCATGATGATTCATTTTATATCGTTTAGGATGAATTAAGCGTAATATTTTCAACTTAATATCATACATAATATTATCATTTCAATGAATCTATTTTCTTCACCAAATTTTATATTCAAATTAATTATATGTTGAATATTGAAAATTTAATTGAGATTTTAAAGATAGGAAAAAATCAATTGTTTCAAATTTTAGACTCGTATTTTTTTTTTTTATGTTTTTTGAAAACATTCCAGAATTGAACATCGAAATGTAAAATTAAATAATTCAAACTTAGAAATGAAAGCATCGGATAAAAATGTAACAATTTTCATCAGTTTGCAACTTTAAACTTTACTTACGGCATGATATATGCCTCATCTGATTACTTGTGTAAATATGATAATGAATGGATGGTATCGGAGTGATTCAGAAATGATGAAAATATGATCGGAAGAAACCGGAGAAGTATGGTGAAATTGCATCGTTTTTTTTTTTTTTCAAACATAAGGATCTATCAGCTATAATTTTTTGTAACATATCGATTTATGGAATAAAGTGGAATGAATAGAATTGAATAAAATGGAATGGAAAGCAATGAAACCGAATAGAAGAGAATGAAATGGAATGGAGTAGAATAAAGTGAAATAAAATGATATGAAACGAAATGAAAAATAAAAATGAAATGAAATACAACAAAATAACATAAAAAAAACGAAATACAACGAAATAAAACAAAATAAAGTGAAACGAAATAACATAAAATAGTGAAATGGAATGAAATGAAATGGAAAAAAGGAATAATAATGAAAATATGAAAGAGCGGGAAGAGAAAGGAGGAGGAAGTTGTAAAGAAATGAAAGGAATTGTGAACCGTAATTTATGTAAATGTAAGTGTAAAAAAAAGGAAAAAATCTTCACTATAATCAATAAATAATACATTTCAGATTTCCGATGTTTTTAACTGATTATCCAGGATTGTGTTTTCCGTCTTTCAGTTTTTCAATTTTCCTCTTCCCTCTTCCTCTTCACTCATTCTCCCCATTTATCCTTCTTTTTCTTTTATCTTTCACCATTCTATTATTTTCTTCTAAAAACTCATCCTGATATTTTTTATGACTTTCTTTTCCATCCCGAAATTTTATATTTTCAATTTGTACATTATTTGGTAATTTGTTAATATTAATGATTGAAATTTTATGATAATATTATATTATATTTTATCTCAGTTATAATAAGAAATATAGTAATATATTTGTAATGAATGGATATTTTATTTTTGGTTTTTTTTTTTTTTTTATAACAATAAATTGGAAAATAGCTACGGTTTTTTTTAGATTTTCTTGTACCTAAAATTTGATCACATATTTCTTGGTGGGCATTCAAAAAATGAAATTTTTAAGTTAATCTCTTCTTTCTTCCTTCCTTTCTTCATGTTTTCTTTTTGTCTCTTTTCATTTCTTCCTTTCATCCTTTGTTCCCTGTCATTCTTTTCGAGGGGTCAACCAAGGATTGATGAAAAGGAAAAGGGAAGAAGTTGCAATAAAGTTAACGACTTTTCATTGCTTGAGAAAGTGAGAAGAAAGAAGATGCACCAATAATTCAAATAAAGTTTCGTCAAAATTTAACACTACAAATGTTATTTTTGTTAAAGTCTTAAAAATTGGGAAGTACTAATCTAATAGTTCAAAACCGAAAAAAAAAAAAAAAAATGAACGAATAATACATCTAAAAGAAAATCAAATGTTATCACTAATTTAAATGAAGCATTTGAGTAAGTTTTTAACTATTTATTCATATTTCATCAACTTCTTTCATTTTTTTAAAGACTTCCTTCGATATTTCATCCTAACCTTTACTATCATTAATAAATGAGAGATTACTGAATAAATCATTTTCCCACCTTATCATTTATTATCAAATGTCAATAGAATATTTTTTTTCCCTTTTTTAAAAATAATTTTTAATTTTTACAAATTTTATGACTTATTCATTTTTTACCATTTCTCCAACAAATTTCCAGCACTTCTCAGATAATAGTGAATCATTTTTTAAATATCTGTTGTGGCTAATTTTTTTCAAAAACAGAAAAGAAAACAGAAAAGAAGTATCAATGGTAAAATGCAGCAAAAAACTTAAAATATTATTACATTTGCTAATTTATATGATAAAATTAGTTTTGATGCAAAGAAAAAAAGGATTCAAAATATTTCACAAACTTACAAAGATTTTTTATACTATTTCATAAAAAAAAAGAGAAACTTCAAAAAAATTGAAAGTGAAAAAAGTTTTAAGCATTGAAGTAATTCCAAACAATCAAAAATAAAATAAAGTATGTAATGAGTAATTGAAAATGAAATTAAATAAAAATTAAAAAACGACGAACATTAAATAAACAATGAAAGAAAACAGAGAGAAAGAACAAAAAGAGATAGGGATGAATCTGAAGAAAAAATTAAATGAAATTGAAGGAATGAGTGAGAAAAATGACTTAATCTAATGTTTACAAAGTATGCTAAGTTAATTTCTTACAAACACTAAATCAATTTGATATTTCAAATATTTCAATTCAATTACAATCCGATCAAACAACGTTAATTTCATTTTGTAATGTAATAGGTTTTAAAATAAACTAACTTTTTTTTTGCAATCAAAAGACTTATAACCTTCTCGGTTCTCCTTTATTTTTTTTTCTCTTCAATTTCAAATAAATTATAAAAAAGTTTAATCCAATTAAATGAACAGCTGATTGTTAGACACAACTTCCGTTTCAAATGCAAGTGTTTTAATTAAGTGAAACTACTAAGCAACATTTACTTATTGCATGATTGTTTTAAATAATTTTATGAATTTGAAAAATTTCCAAAACTATATTAATTTTAACAATTCATATATCTTTCCAAAACAATAAATTTATCAGATTTACATTTGTGGCCACAATTTAAAAAATAATAGCAATAAGTTTAGTGAAAATGTTAACTTTGTTCAAGAGACATCGAGCTTCAACAGCTTATAATCAAACGATCTAAATTACCAACAACTTATTCTTCAAAGTATTTCGTTTAATTCAATCAATATTTAAATCAAACGAAATATTTTAAAAATATTTAATAGTTTTTGGCAACATAAGCTTGGTTCAAATACTTATGTCAATGATCTATTTGGCTTAATTGCTGCATCATTGACATAAAATGAAAATTTTTTCAAATAAAGCAGTGCTATGAAAACTCTGATGCTAAAATTTCAATGTTAAAATCTTAATTTTTCACTCAATACTCAATGATTCAGCACAATTCAATTTTTAAACTTTATTATCTCATTTTTTTTACTTTCATTTTTTCATGATCATTATATTGTTGATCGCAAACGTGAATTATCCTCACGTAGCATAATTAATGGTGGTTAAATGTGGAAAAAATTTGGAAAAGAATAACAAATTCTTCCAAAGGTAATTTCTAAAATAATAAATTTAAAATTAGCTAAAAACTGACGGACTGCATCAGTCAACGATTTCGTTTATTAATTAAAAGAAATTTTTTTTTGTACTCTCTTAAAGAATTAAAAACAAAACATTTTTGCAGTCTGTTTTTCTTTTCATTGTTTATTCTTTTTTAATCTTTTTGAAGTACAGCAAGAGATTATTGATTAATATGCATTGTATATATTTTAATCTGAAGAAGTAGTAAGTAATTCAGGAGATTTTCAGGAATTCAAATTTTTCAACTATAAAATTTATATCCTATAAGTATTCCTAAAAATCAGTTCTAAAAATAAGAAACAAACAAAAAAAACGAAAAACTTTTTTTCAATTCATTTATTTTATTGATTATAAAATTGTTTATTAGGATTAATAAAGATTTTTCAAAATTTTATTTTAAGTAAAAAAAATTTTCCCAACATATAAAAATTCATTTATGCAATATTTTTTTTTTTCCTTTTTAATATCTAGAAATAAACCTTTTAAATGTTAAAAACAAATAAAAAGAAGGAAAAATAAAATAGAAAAAAATTAAACGGAATGAAATTAACGAATAGTTGAAAAGTTTTTCAAGCCGGTTTTTACAATTTCAAGAATTATCTCGCACGAAAATGGGTGAAAGTGATTTGTTGTTAAATGAACAATCATCTCAACTCCTGTAAATGTTGAAACAATGCAGTGGATGATGATGTTGTTGTTCATACTTCTTAAATTTCTTTCAAACTTTATTCATGGATGTATGCCACGGTATCAGGAAGAACTTCAATACTTAGATTATTATCTTGGTATACAACCGGAAAATCAGGGTAATTTACCTATTGAAGGTATTTTTTTATTAAAAAAATTTTTTTTTGTAAAAAAATTATAATTTAAAAAAAATATATATATATATATTTCTTTTTGCAAATATTTATAAATGAATAATTAAGAATCTCAAAAAAAAAAAATGAAATGGTTCAAATTTTTTCAAAAAAAAGAAAAAAAATTCATTATTAGTTAATTTTCTTTTTCTTCAGAAACTATGATAAAACAATATCTAAGCAATTCATCAAAATTAAATTGTCAATTCAATGAACGATGCGCCTGGATGAATGCTCCTGATGATGATTTATTAGATACATCAGATTTCTATTTATTTGTTAAAACAAACACTAAATTATTTCCACCACACATTCAGCCAGGACCACCTGATCCATTGAAAGGTTTTTCATATTATCAAAAAGAACTTTTGATTTTCAGAAGTAAACAACAAAAATTTGACCATAAAATAAAAAAATTTTTTTTTTGCTTTTTTCTTTCAAGAAAAAAGAGATGTTTAAAAAATTATAATAACAGAATAAATTTGTAGCAAAAATAATTATTAATAAAAGGGCAAAAAAAAGGAACAAAAAATTTGAATCATGATGAATGCTTTTTTTGCGGTCTTAAGGATTTTTGAAAATTGATTTTAAATTAGTTTTAGATTGAAATAACTCATTTGTTTTATATTATATATATATAGACTTGTTTCTCTTTTTTTTGAAAATAAATCATTTTTGAGTCATAAAAAGACTTTTTTTCTTTTTTTACCAAATGAATTATTTCCAGGTACAAAATTTATTCTCGCAGGTAATACAACAACAAAATCTCAAAGTGCTATACTTATTAGCGCACCAATTGCATGCCAACGAGCATCCGGATCACTGGATTTCAGGTAATTTAATTAAGCACAGAAAATAATTCAAGATATAAACAGTTTTACTTCATCATTTTCTTTCAATTAATTTTTGAAATAAAAAAAAAAAATCATTTTTCTAAAATTTCATTCAATAAATAAGATACTGTGCAATTTCATATATTAAAAAACTAGATCTATCCATAAAAGTTGAAATATTTTAGATACTGGCTATACAATGAAGCAAAAATTGAAGTATTAATTTTAAAACCTTCTACCAGAAGGAATCGTCATCAGGTTATTAACTACCTGGCTCCTTTTTTTTCATTCATTTACTATTGAGATTTTCATTTTCCAGTTTATAAAATATCAAATTTGTGTAAAAAATAAATAACATTAATATTTGAAGGTTATTTTACGGCCGCATACCGAATGCTACTTCATTCGTACTTTTAATGATCGTTGCAAAATTGAAATACCAGAAATTAGTGAACCATTTCGAATTGGTATTCGTGTCCATGGTTTAAGAGATTCAGCATTAGGTAGTCTTGGGATGATAACTGATATTAAATATAAAGCTGAAATATGCTTGGAACCTAGTGAGTTCATAAAAGTTTTTTTTTTCGAAAAAAAATTGATTCTTTAATCAAATTATGACAGTATTTTGTAATTTTTAACAAAAATCATACTAATTAAACGATAATCTGGCAATTAATTTTAGCATTTCTAACTATTAATTGAATTTGCATATAATGTTTGCAAATCAATCAAATATTTAAAACATACAAAAGAAGCCATAAAAATCATTAAATTTAAGTAACTAATATAATAATTTATTATTAAAAAAATCATAAATTAAGTTGAAATTATGCATATAGAAAATTTAAAGAAAAAGAAAATTACAAACAAAATTTAGAATTATCAAAAATTTTTGGTGCTCGAGCAGTTCCACCGTCATTAATTAATTCATATCCAATTTCTGCTGCTGATCTTTCCTGTGTTGATTACAACTCAAGCTGTCGTTGGTCCAATACACTTTCATCATTAGCCGAATGGAAAATTGGACGGAATCGCCGACGATGGAAGGAAATTTTTGAAACAGAAAGTAAACCAAGTGGCAGCTTTTTCTATCAATATGTTGATTCAGTTATTCAAGAACCTTATTCATTGCTACGATCAGAACTTATTCCATGCACCAGCACTGTTACAACTTTTTCATTTAGGTTTGTTATATTATATTTAATTTTTAATGATTATAGAGATTTATTTCTCATTTCTCTTTTTTTGTTTTTGTTTTTTCAAAAAATAAGCAATTTCATTTAATAAATAATATAAAAAAAATGATATGAAAAATTTTAATATGAAAAGAAATAGGAAAAAAATTGTAATTTTTTGTTGAAATTTTGTCTTAATTTAAATTTTTATAACTTTACATATTGTTGCAAAATCTACAGTTCCAGCAAAAAAAAAAAATTTTTTTTGTCAATAAAATGATATTTAAAACTGATTATTAATGTTAAATGTTTGAGAATGCAGCACTCATTTACTGAATTGTTTAATTGAATTATTAGTAATAATTTTTTTATTATAAAAACATTCTATCAAATATTTTTGAATCTTTATTAAATTTACATTTAATAAAATTTGAATTTAAAATTATTTCTATTTACAGATATTGGTTGCAAACAGGTACACAAGTTCAAGTTTGTACAGTTACAGCATCAAATGTTATAATTAGTTGTGTGTATCTAAATGAACTAGCAATGCCTGGACCAGTTAGTATTGATGTTGATGCACCAACTGAAGAACCTTTCCGAGTATGAAATGAGGACTTTTTCTTGAAAAAAATGATAATTTACAGATTTAAACTGTTATATCAAATTGCATAACGCAATTGATTTTTGTTCCATTATTCAAATAATAATACTAATGAGACAAATATTATAAAAATTGTCATGTCTTTCATTAATAATATTTATTAATTCACAATATTTCATATATATATATATATATATATCATCAGGAAAGTAATTTTTCAAATTTCATTTTACAGTTCATATTTGAATTGATCAATTTTGATAATTCAACATTTGGCCTTGTTGTAATTGATGATATGCAATTTACTGGTTTATTATGTCATGAAGTAACTGTACCAACCACTACAACAATCGATCCATTACAAATCAAACGACTTTTCTCACTTCATCCATATCCAAATTTGCTAATTGTAAGTAAATTAAACTTTATCATTATATGAATAAAAAAATACACAAATTAATATAATTTGTAAAATAATACTTTTTGAATAATAATAAAATCCTTTTTTTTTTTGAATCAAACTTCTGAATTTTTTCACTTGCAGAATTTTTTTAAATATAAATTAAAATGCTTTAAAAAAATCTTTTTAATAAAAACAATAAGGAAAAATTTAAGCAACATTTTCAATAATTTTATCTATTTTTTCAACATTGTTAACACTTTTCTTCCTATAATCACTGTAAACGAAAAAATATTTTTAAGTAACATTGATTGTTACTGATTATTTGAGAAGTTTTCAAAATAGTGTTTTTTTTTTCTAACTTTAGGATAATATACCAACATTGAATTGTGATTTTAATCAAAATACATGTCCACAATGGGAAAATGATGGACATTGGTTACTTGGGACAATTCCATGTGACGAATCTTTCACATTACCATCATCATCATCAATAAAAGGCTTAAAATTTATATAAATTTTAAAATTTGTTGAATTTATATATTACCATAATAGTAAATTTATGAATTACTAAATTAATTGCATTCCAAAATTAGTATTTGATTGATACTTATGTTAATAATATAAATGATCTAACTCATAAACATATCTATCATTTTAATTTTCCTTCCCAATAATCATTTTCAGATCAAGTTTCGGTTGCTGTTCTAAATAATACCATGGCTATATTACAGTCCCGAAAAGTTCCATGCGCATCTAATGCTAAGATTTTTATTGCATACTTTCGAACTGAAGAAGCTAACTTAATGGTATGCATCGCGAAACATTGTGTTAGCACTAATGATAGACGTTCCGGTAAAATATTTTTCAAAATTTAAAAAATTTGAAATGATTGATGAAATGTTAATGATAATAAATGAAAATAGTGGCATCATTCACTTTCTTCATCAAAAATTTTTTTTTTATGAAAATATAAATTAATAATTTTTGGATTTACTAATTTTCGGTTGGCTTTCGATGAATGTTAATTATAAGGAATCATTTTTTATTCGATTAATCGCAAAATCAACTGGACCCGGTTTTGTTGTTATCCGAAAAATTGAAACAACAGGCAACTGGTGTCCACTTCCAACATTATCACAATACGCATGCGAAAAACTTAGTTGTACATTCCGTCAAACTTTTTGCAACTACAAAACAGAAATAAATTCACGTGCTAATGTTTTATTCAAAAGTGATGGAAGAGGTAAATCAAGGATTTTTCTTTTAAATATTATATACATATATTTTTGAAAACTTATGAGTGGTTTATTTATTGCATTCGTTTTGTAACATTACGTTTGATTTAATATGTTCATCACTTAATTTCAGCATATTAAATGGAGCTTATCATTAGCTTACTAACAACAGTTTATTAGTAATTACTAGTTTAAGGTTTTATCCATTTGAATAGTTGCAATTAATAATGAAAAGTCATCAACCATATTCAGTGCTATAATAATTAGTTTCATTATTATTATTTGCTTAATATGTTTAGGAGTGATAGCAGATATTGACAAAGGACCAGGTTTAGCCGTATTGCGATCACCACAGTTCAAGCTTTCACGCCCGGCTGAATTGCAAATTAAGGTTGCTTTTCAAATTTGCAGTCAGTTGAAAATTGATGCACGGAACGGTATAATGTAGCGTTTTCATACAGCATTCATGAATTAGTGCAAGAAAGTGGAACACTAACAGTTACTAGCTTTTTAATTTTGTTTTACTTATTTTTTAAACAAAATAAGAAGTAATCTTAAAAAAGAGTTATTAATTAGTTGTTTAAACAAACTTTGATCTCGTTGATTCGTTTACGAGAAATTTCTAAGTGAAGAATTGTTTACATCTCATTTTTTTTCCTGATTATCATCTTTCTTAGTCCCAGAAAAAATGATCTTTCCTAGAAACAGATTGAATTAATAAACAAAAAAAAAAAAAAAAAAGAGAAAAAAGGGTTGGAGTGAAAAATAAGTTCAACCTCCTTTTTTTTCCTTTTATCCTACCCAAATTGTAATTTTTTTTTCGAAATAGAAAAACACAAAAATGCATTAATGATTACTTTCAATACTTGTTAACTTCTTTATTATGGCTAACAAAAATTATTTCATATTAATCAAATTTAAATTGTTGATAACTTTCAGATATATCAATCAACATTTGGTTCTCAGACATTCTTGTGCGGCGATAATTTCAACACTCTGTTTGATTGTCAACCAATATTAGGCCCAAAAATAGAACTGCCAATAACAGAAAAAGTAATCGTGCCACTTGATCACGATGCACAAAATTTTACAATTCTTGCGGTGCATGATAAATTCATCGAATTTGGTGCAGCAAAATTTATCATTTCAAACATTGAAATATTAGATGAAAATGGAGAATTATTATGTTAAAGAGATGAAATGATCGTAATCAATTTGCTATTGTCTTTTCAAATTTTACAATTTAATAAATACAATGAATTTTTTTTACAAAAATTTAATGAATATGAATGCAAATTGAAAAGGAAAATAATTGAAAAATTAAGCAACATTATTTTTGCTTTTCGTTTTTTTGTTTTGTTTTTGTTTGATGATGGAAATAAAATTTAATTGAAAAAATTTTAATTCTGATAAAGTTTGAACCCAAATAAATTAGACTAAACATTTATTTAATAATTCTATTGCATTTTGCTCCTTAAAAAAACTCATTCAATCACTTAATATTTTAGCTCATTTTAACATTTTTTTTTTTTTTTTTTTTTGAAGTTGTTATTATAATTGATGTTACATTCACAATTTCTGTATTTATTGGTAAATTTCAATTTTCATTTAAATAATTTATTTGATTAATTTATTGACTTATAAATAACAAATTTCTGTTATTTCATATTGTATTGCAATTTATAAACGATAAGAAATGTTAAATTTTACAACAGTAATTTTTGTTAACATTTACAAATGGTATTAATAGATGACAATAATGTTCAAAATGAAAAAGTTTGTTGAATAAATTAATAAATGAAAATAGCAATGATGTCTGGTGACCAAAAAGATTCCTAGTAAATATTTAATAAACAGAAAATGGATTAATGTTATGCTTACTTTTATTGTAAACAAATGTTTCATTTTAGCATTCGTTCAATTGTACAAACATCATTGTGTCTTCAAATTTTGGGTCGTTTTTAGCTACTGTAAAACAGTTTTAGGTTTACATTTGTTTTCAAACTTTTACATATAACGTCCAAAAAAAAAAAAAAATTCTGATAAGTTTCAATATGGAAGCTACAAATTAGCAGTAACTATTTTTTGAAAAAAAAAGGGAAACACGTCAAAATCTCATTTTGAAAAACAAAAAAAAAAAAATAAGTATGAAAAATTTAGGAAAAAATAAAAACATAAGTAAATAAAAAATGTAAATAATAAATAAATATAAATTATTAAAATCAACCATATAATAACCATATTATCGTGAAAATAAAAACTGATTAGTAAATGAAAAGGATAATTGGATAGAAAAGAAATAAATAGAAGTGAACAATTCTTGATAAACATTTCAAATTTGACTGAAAATTTCTAAGGATTACAACATTGATTAGTTGCTAAACAAAAAGTTAAAACATATACTTTTACAAAGATTTTAAAATTGATGAAAAATTTTTTTGAGGTTGAAATACAAAAAGTAAGATAATAATTTGTTTCTTTATCGAATTAAAATTTTTTTATTAAAATTTTGCTAAAATTTCAATTACGAAGAGAAAAAGCTAACAATGAGATAATATCTCTACTATTGCAAATAAATTATTCTCGACAAATGTTAAATGAGATTTTGTGAGATTTATGATTATAGGAGGCCATCAACCTCCTCAAATCTATTCAAATCATTTCCTTTTGAATTAAAATCTAATTAATCATTTAAGATGCTAGGTTAAATTTTTAATCAATAATTTCTTAGCTACAAAAAACGATTCCAGATAAAACTATTCTGGTCCATAATATAACGAAAATTTAACTTCTAGGAAAAAAGAATTGAATTTGACAAGAAATTCAAATAAGTGAAAAAGCAATGCTGAAAATAGCAGAAACTTTGGCTTAAATTTTTTTTTCGGCTTTGAAAAAAAAAGACGTAGTGTTAATTTGGTTGATAACCTTTCTTATGCAGAAAAAAAAATGCACAAAATTTGTTGTATGTCAAAAAAATGCTGTAAAAAAGCTAATGTTAATTTTTGTTCTCATAAAAATTTTATTCAATTTAGAGATTTGAGAGTTTGTTTTTTAAAAAAACAAGTAAAATTGGTTCTCATTTAACAATTATTTAGATTTTAATAAACTTTCGATTGCTACAATCAATTATCAAATCCGGTTCTTGAAATATTTCACTCAAATTTTGAAAATATTTTATTCATTACTAATTAAAAAAATTCTCGAAAACTATTCATGAGTCTTTTTCATTATCCATTAGACAATATTTTACTTCTTACAAAATTTTTTCTTTTTTTTTTTTGCCTAATTTTTTTTTGCAAAAAGCAAACGATGTGCGCAAGGTAGGCGTCGACATGTCGTATATTATGCATGTCGCAAGCTAATTTACCGTATTTCCGGTAAACCGTTTAATGGAAACATGCAAAAAAAAAATAAAATTATTGAACTTCTCAAATACAGAAAGAATTGAAATATATAAGAAAGGATTAATCAACCATTCAAAAATACCATGAAATTCTGATATAATAAAAAGAAGGAATTGCATCTTCAAAAAGACTTATTTCTTTTGATATAATTTAAAATTTGTACATTTTTTCCTTTTCTTTCCTTTTTTTTGCGAAGATTTCGTTTAATATTCTATTACAATAAAAATGAAGCAGCAGTAAACTTAATAATGGTTAATGTTTAAGTATTATAAAGAAGTGGCTTATAGCATAAGTGATTTAAAATTTTTTTCAAGGTTTCAGAACCTTTTGAATTCAAATTTAATTTTTTTTCATCATAACATGCTAATGTGCATTAAATTAATAATGTCAATAATAAAGAAAAATGCAATAAATTTTTAATCAATTTGCTAAATGATACTTGTAATGCAATGAATGTTAGAATTTTTTTTTTTTTTTTTTTTTTTTTAGAAAAAATTTTTGTTTTATGAAATAACATAAAATATAGCATCTCATAAATGCAATATACTTGATAAAGACTTCATTTAAACATTGAAGAATATGTAGGAAGAATCCTGTTATCAATCATACAATTGTTCATATGACAAACGAATAAATCATTTGAAATTCCATAATCATTGCAAAAAAAAGAAAATAAAACAACAAAACAAAAACAAAACAAAACAAAATATCAAATGATTATAATTTTCAGTTTTCTGTACATTAACTATTTAACAAAACAACAAAAAAGATTTCATTTCCTAATGTTTTTGATAAATCTTGAAAAATCTTCAAGGATCAATTTGAAAAAAACTACAAATTAAAAAGACAAATAATAAAAAAGCTGAAAATTTGCATAAATAAATCAATAATTTTCAAATTTACTCACAGCAAATCTTTAAAATTGCATAATGCGAAGAAATATTAATGAGGGAATGACAAATTTGAAAATTATTTAATCACAGTAAATTTTGTATATTTGATGATAAAATTTTCATTTTTGAGTATAAAAGTAAAGAAAATTTTTAAGTAAAAAAAAATTAAAAAGTAAAATTTCTGTTTGAGTAAAAAAATTTTTTCAAATTTGTTCAAAAAAAAAATAGATGTAGCATTAACAATTCATAAGAAACTTGATAAGAAAAGGAAGAGAGGTCAATTACGCAAACAAAAAAGAGATTCACAGGAAAAAAGAAGTCATTTAGTGAGAAGTAAAAGTTAATGTGTTTGTTAACCATTCTTTTTATTTTTTTGAATTTTAGAGCATAATTTTAAAAGAAAAGTCTGAGTAGTTTAATTTTAACCCAAAATTACACCTCTATTTCAACTTATTTCGCTCTAAGCACAAATCAGTTAAGTCAAATTCATGTAAAAATGTAGCCACATTACAAATTTTAAGCATAATAAAATTAAACATATCAATTGATTGGTTGGATAGAAGATTAGTTACATAAAATATATAGGCCACAAATCATCCAACAATGAAAGCAATTATAGTAATGCATTTGTGAGGGATTAAAAAAAATTGCATTTAATCAATATTTGTTAAATTAATAGGTAAGCGCAAATATTACACAATTCCTGATTGCTATAATTAGTAATGGCGACATAAGAATATTATAATTTCAAATGATTAATATTAATTATTTAATGATCATTTGATGATGTAATTTGATGCAGCTTACGTATATGCTTCTTAAGATCAAAATTGCGACAAAAACCTCTGGCACAAATTGGACAAACAAACGGTTTCTGTTCTCGATGTGTATGCATATGAAATGTTAGATTGTATGTTTGATGAAATGCTTTATTGCATACGCTACATTTGAATCTTTTTTCGCCACTATGCGTTAATTTATGATTCTTATAATTTCCATTTTGATGAAATCCTTTACCACATAATTCGCATATATACGGTTTATAGCCTAAATTAATTTTTGTTTTTATTTTTTTCTATTTTCAGCAATTAATTTCATTTTCATTTCAATTCATAAAATCCAATTTAAAAATGAGGAAATTTTTATTGATAAATAAGAATTAACACTGAATAAATGTTTGCGATAACATATAAAATTAAAAAATCGAAACACACCTAAATGAATACGGATATGCGTATTGAGCGTTGATGAGCGATTAAAGCATTTGCCACAGGTGACACACTAAAAGCTTCTTAGATGGTCATATTTATAATGAAAATAATTATTACTTTTCTATTATTCTCTTCTCACACATCATCCATTATCCTTTCATATTTTTATTTTCTTTTATAAAATCTCATATTTTGAAATTATTTATTCATCAATTCATGAATTAATGAATGAATTACTTGAGAAAAGAATGAAAAAAAAAAAACTTACTGTATGAGGTTTTTGTTCAGTATGTATAATTTTATGACGACATAATGTTGAAGCTTGTCGAAAAGCCTTACCACAAACCTAAAATTCTTAGGATTTATAATTATGCATTTTTTAAAAATATATTAAAATTCTTTTTACATCATTTTTTTAAGAACTAAAACAGTAGTATAATTGTAATAAATAGTAAATAAATGTTTTACAATGGTGAAATTAATTACAGATTATTATAGATTAACGATCCAAATAAGATTAGTTTGATCACCAAGATTTTTTTCGTTAACAATTAACTGATTATTTTTCAGTTATAACCTGTTTTATCAAATAGGACTTATAATATAAATAGCCAAAATTTTCATTTAACATATCTATCAATAACTGGAATTGCAAAATACTTCAACTAAATAAGCAATGCTTT